AAAAAAAAAAAAAAAAAAAAAAAAACAGTGTTTTGCATTTGATATCATTGATGCTTGGCATGGGTGTTTCTCTTGTCATCTCTCTTCTTGAATGGATCTCTCTTAACAATTGCTTGCTTTATAGACAGAAATAAGACATGTCCCCCAAGCTGGGGTTACAGGAATGTTTATATTCTACACTTACAAGGCTAATTTTCTGTAGCCATGTCGACGTTGTCTATTTATTGAGCCAAAAAGGTTGTCCAATCCAATTTTGGTTCGGGTTTTTAGAACCTCAATGAAAATTCAGCTATTAGTCGGTTCGGTTTGATAAACTCATTAGATTCTACTAAACCAAAAACGAGTCCCAAATCTATATATATAAAAAAATGAAGTGGACTTCACGTCTCTAGATTTACTAGGACGAGAAAAAACCTAATGTGTCCTCACTTTACGGACTAGTTAGATGAATGTGCTGTTTATAATGGCGTCGTGCCCGGAGAACGTCTTCTTCCATTTCACCGCCGCCGAGTTCGACCCGGCGAGTCCACGCGTCCTGAGTCAACTCACCGGTCGACTTTCCCGTCAAAGTCTACATTGTTCGGGAAGCCACCGTCATCAACCGCATCTCGTCTCCAATCAGACAGGCACTCGAGAAGCCGTTGAACTACGCGCGGAGACATCCTGCGTCGACCGGGTCATATGCCTCGACTCGGACATCTCATCGTGGTACGACGATATTACAAAGCTGTGGAACACGACGTTGACCGGGTCGAGAGTCATCGGAGCTCCGGAGTATTGTCACGCTAACTTCACCAAATACTTCACTTCCACTTTCTGGTCGGGTCGAAAGCCTTGTTATTTCAACACGGGTGTGATGGTGATGGATCTCGTGAAGGGAATTACAGAGAAAAGATCGAAACTTGGATGCAGATACAGAAGAAAAGAAGAATCTATGAGTTGGGTTCGTTGCCTCCTTTTCTTCTTGTCGAAAGAAGCGATTGATCATAGGTGGAACCAGCATGGTTTAGGAGGAGACAATGTCTGTAGCTCTTTGGATAAAGAAAGGACCAGTGAGTTTAATTTGTTGCATTGGAGTGGGAAAGGGAAGCCGTGGGTTGGGCTTGATGAGAAGAGGCCACCGTGTCCTTTGGATCATCTTTGGGAGCCTTATGATTTGTATGAGCATAAGATTGAGAGAGCTAAATAAAGATCAGCCTTTTCTTGGGCTCTCTTCTTTAACACAAGATTCAACCTTTTTGTAAGAAGAATGTGTGTGCATTGTTTTACTTCTTTTGTACTAGTTCTCTTTGTTTATCACAATACATTGTTGTTTGAGAAACGAAACATATTGTTTTGATTGCTAGTTTTGTGTACAAACTTGATTAGTGAGAGGGAGATTGTGGAAACTTTTGTTTAGATTCGTTTTGTAAACCCTACTTTGCACTAAGGAATCTCAATTTCCCTGTTGAGTTATAAAACCCTTTTGTGTTACACTAGATTTCAAATTTGATTGTGCATCTCAGATAGTTGCTTCAAGTTGTAAAGAAAATTGATCTAATCTGACAGTTGATTAATGTCCTAGATTAAAAGAATGTGAAAATTTGATTGTACTAAGACTTGAATCTACTGTTCTTTAAGTTGTACCAAAACTAGTCAGTTAAAATAGTTAATAAACTCTTTGGTCCTCTTAATATTAGTAACAAGTACAGTAGTAGTATCTTGGAACCTTTGCTTCTAAGACCATGATTATCTAAGGGTGTTTAGGGAGATGTTTAGAAGGAGAGGAGTGCTTAATTTGAAGAGAGAGAGTGTGGAAAATGCTTAATTAAGCACTTTTCACACTCTCTCTCTTCAAATTAAGCACCCCTCTCCTCCTAAGCATCTCCCTAAACACCCTTGGATAATCATGCTCTAAAGTTCTAACACTTAGTTAGTTACTTTACTCTGGAAAAAATTGAAAATAAATAAAATAAATACACCTTAACTTTTTCCAGCTTACAAATGAAAGAAAGACACATTTGCTTGTTACTCGTTTGTAAATAGTAACTAAAGTAAAAGATTAATAAATAATAATAAAACTTTTTCATAATCAAATAGAAAAAATTGACAAAATAACCATCAACTTTTGTAAATAACCCAAAAAAATCTCCAACTCACAAATAAGCCATTTTAACCTTCAATTTCTAGTCAAACACAAATAAATCTCATACTTTCGTTGACCAAGCCATTTTAATCTTGTCAAAAATCAACCGTTTAGTTCCGTTAGTTATATTTAACGGTTAACTTTTAATGAGCCTAAAATGACTTAGTTAAGATATTTTTAAGTGAAAAATTTTAATCCTAAACTTTTAAATTAAAATTAAAAAAAATGTCATACTTTCGTGGACCAAGCCATTTTAATCTCATTAAAAGTCAACTGTTAAATATAACTAAAGGAACTAAACAGTTAAATTTTGACGAGATTAAAATGGCTTGGTCAACAAAATTATGAGATCTATTTGTGTTTGACTAGCTTTTACTCTAAAATACGTTACAGTCAGACACATCATGTTTGGTGTGGTGGGTTATCTTCATTTTCAGGTAAGCTTATAAGATCCTCTCTCTCTCTTTTTTTCTTTTTGGATTTGCAAATAATAATTTCGAAACTTCAATCATTATTTAGGAGTTTGTCTCTTTCTTTGCTTCTGTAATTACTGAAGCTTGTTTCTCCACTTCCTTGAGATCAGTTGGTGTCATACCATCAACAGACAGCACGGTTATCGGGAGTTAACCGGTTGTGACATACCAGGTCTAAACTCTGAACTGACAGCAGTCCTCACCCACCTCAAATGCAGCGTCCTAAACGCCGAGGTCTGGACAAACAACAACAGAGCAGCTGCTGTGATGGAGGTGACAGATGACTTAACCGGATGCGCCGTTTCTAATCCAGAGAGGCTCTCATGGATCAAAAGCCTTCTAAGGAATGTGCTCAAGGGAAGCAACAAGGAAGCCAAAACGGTTGTGTCTCACGGAGAGATACACAGGGACAGGAGGCTTCATCAGATGATGTTTGAAGATATAGAGACTCTGAGCACTGTGTGGTGGTGGACGATGATTCCTCCTCTGTGCAAGATGAAAGGCAGAGACCAGATGTTTGTGTTGATAATTGGCTTGATAAGGATTACTCTGTGGTTACAGTTAGATGTAAAGACAGACCAAAGCTTCTGTACTGATACTGTCTGTACTTTGACTGATATGCAGTATGTGGGTTTTCCATGGAAGTGTTGATATTGAAGGCACAGAGGCATATCAGGTAAAAATCTCACCACACTACAACAAGAAAAATCTACCCTGAATCCATTCTCTTATTGGTCTTTTTTGCGATTTTCAGGGGTATTATGTGAGACATATTGATGGATCCCCTGTGAAATCAGAGGCGGAGAAGCAAAGAGTCATAAAATGTCTTGAAGCAGCTATCAAAAGAAGAGTATCTGAGAAGCAAAGAGTCATACATAGTAGTAGTCTACTCTTTTTAGTAACTGTAACTGAAGATGAGTTTCTTCTTCTCCTCATAGGGATTGAAGTTGGAACTGTGCACTAATGATAGAGTAGGCTTGTTGTCAAACGTGACTAGGATTTTCCGTGAGAATAGTCTGACGGTTACGAGAGCTGAAGTGAAAACCAAAGGAGGCAAAGCTCTGAACACATTCTATGTTACATTTGCAAAGAATGTACATTGATTGCGAGAGAGAGAGAGAGAGAGAGAGAGAGATCAGTCACACCTCCTACTATATATAGCGCAAACATTACTGAGGAAGTGCAAGAACTCCACTTGCTGCTCTGTGAAAATCACTTGCACCAACACGCAAAAAGTAAATTGTTAGAAATGAGGATAAACTAGTAACACATGCATATAAGTATTCACACACAACAGTGTCTGATTCTGAGATACCTTAATTGGAGAAAAAGAAAACACCAGGCAGTAATTGTGTGCGTCCTGCTTCTGTTTTCTCGAAATGCTCAGTCACAGAGAACTGCCAAGTCCCAACCTTTAAACCCAATTCTTAGATAATTTACTTCAGATGGTGAGAGCAGTTTACGGACAAGTTACAGCCAAGTAAGAGGCTTGTTTTCTCACCTCCTGGTTTGACTGAATAACATGGCCTTTAAACATGCTGTGCAACCCAAAGTTAAACAAATCATCCCAACATATTGCATGTTTTGAGCCAAACATCCTCATAAGTCTCTTCCCATTACTTATAGGTCTCAGTCAAAATAGAGAAGATATCACAGTAATGTTCCAAATAACAAAATATGGAGATGCTCGGTATGTAATGTAGAGGCAAGGCAAACCTTTGATAAAATATATATTGATACATGCCATTCAATGTCTCTTGAGTCCACTTCAGAAAGATAAAATGATTTTACAAGAAGAGAGGTTTTACCCATCTAAGGGATTCACTACACCAGGAAAATGATCACCGAAGGTCAGCCTGTTATCTAGTGACAACAATGGGTCAGACACACATCATAATACAAAAAAAAAAAAAAAAAAGTTATAAGAAGAGATGTGAATCAATCTGTCTAAGAGGTTACTTAAACGACTGAAATTGTTGCTTTTAAAGTTAGAAAAACAAGACAAGTTCTTGGACGTAATAGACCAAAAGAGATCATTCTACCCACATTGATATCTTATCTTAACAAAACAAACAAAAAGAACTAATTTATTGCGTAACTAATCTCTCATAAAGTTTTTTAAACACATTAAACTACTAAAATTGTTGCTTAAAAAACAAAACAAGACAAGTTCTTGGACGTAATAGACCAAAAAAATCCTCAAATATCATGTGATCGCAGACCTCAATTAAAATTTGTGCACACCAAATCTCAGTTTTACATTCCATAGCATAATTAGTCTTCCACCAAACTATTACTCTATTGTCTTGGCCAGGGTTCGTTACGGAAATAAGATAATTAGTTAGAGGATATTGCTTCAAATCCCGCAACTCTAACCCACCGATATGTGGCACCGCAAATAAGTTCACCATTGCGAACCCATGCGCTTAACCACAACTTCGACTTGGTGGAACTGGAAAATGGGATAATAATGTTTATACTTGAGCCAATTTCAATTCGTTTTTGGCCTCTGTTTTTGGCCTCAAGTTAATGCAATGATAAAAGGTGGGTTTGAGAAGGAATCTGAAATGAAATCTCGTCCAGCTAAGAGGTGGGTTTTGTTAAAGCAGTGATTCACACTAGCTACCGCTTTTTCTCTGTTCTTCTCACCTGGGCTCACTCTTGTTGTGCAGTGGTAAAACCATTGAGCTTGATGATGTCACATTTCACCAGTGTGTGAACCTGACAAGATTCAACTCTGAGAAGACCGTTAGCTTTGTACCACCGGATGGTGAATTTGAACTGATGAAGTAAGTGTTGGAATGTTCACTATTGCATATTGTTCTAATACTGAAGTGTATTGACTTGATGATGTCTTAGGTATCGAATAACAGAGGGTGTGAATCTGCCTTTCCGCGTATTACCAACAATCAAAGAGCTTGGTCGTACACGAATGGAAGTAAATGTCAAGGTAAGTTAGCTTAACTTCAAAAACATTAACAAGACAAAAGCAGCTTGACTTCTGCTTTCTTATAATCTTCTCTCGTGTTTTGTTGTTTCAGGTGAAAGGTGTGTTTGGTGCTAAAATGTTTGCTCTCGGGGTCGTAGTTAAAATTCCAGTGCCAAAACAAACAGCAAAGACAAACCTTCCAAGTGACAACTGGTCGCGCTAAGTACAATCCATCAATCGATTGCTTGGTTTGGAAGTGAGCTTTCTGTACACTCCTAAGAACCATCCTCTAACTCTATTGGTTGGTGTTTTATCAATAATTTGTCTTCTCTCTTCAGGATAAGAAAATTTCCAGGACAGACAGAGTCCACACTAAGTGCCGAAATTGAGTTAATCTCAACAATGGGAGAAAAGAAATCTTGGACAAGGCCACCAATCCAAATGGAGTTTCAGGTCAATTTTCTTTTCTAGTTAGCACTTCTAAACAGAACCAGACAGATTGTTAAGGGTGGTTGTTTGTTAACGGTCTCAGCTTCGTTTTAATTACAGGTGCCAATGTTCACAGCATCTGGTTTGCGAGTTCGTTTCCTCAAGGTACGCTTTTCATTTCTATGCCTTCTGAAGACCAAAAAAGGTCATGCTAATATATGAAGCCTTATGATCTTTATGCTATTTGTATTTGCTTCTGGTCTACAATGATCACTGTAATGGTTAGCTCTTGAAAAAACTTCACTCTTTCCTTGGATTTGACCAGTAACTGGATTGTTTTGTAGGTGTGGGAGAAGAGTGGTTACAACACGGTGGAGTGGGTTAGATACATAACCAAAGCGGGATCTTATGAGATCAGATGCTGAACTTAAGATCACAGTTCAGGTTCAGTGACTTAAGACTTAGGCTCATGGCTTTTAGCTTTTGCGCCTTTAGCAGAACATGAAACAGAGTTGAAAATATTTTGTGTGTTTTTTTGTCCATTAGCGATATTCGTGTGTTAATATGATTTCTTATGTTCTGGTATTGGATTTTCTTTCATTTCTTTGTTTGTGGGTTATCTACGACTTTTGATTAATTTGGTGTCATCGAACCTGATAGTCTTTGTGAAGCAGTCGGATTTTTTATTATTATTATTTTACAAAACGTTTGATGGGTACTTTACGTGCTTTTGATCATCTAATAGTATATTTTATTATGAAAAATTGTTAACTAATTATCAAACATACTATGACAAATCTTGTTTAGGATCAAAAGAAAGTTATGTTTTATTGAATATGAAACAACTAACCATAATCGGATACAAATTAATTAATGATAATCATCATTACATTAAACATTATTACACGAAATATTCCTTTTTCTTTTCCATTTTCTAGCACATATTGTTCAATTGTATCAATAATTTTTCACAAACATTTCACTAGGCGAGTATATAGTTACAAAAAAAAATATTATGAGTGACTATGTACCAATTTAATGCACAAGGAAAGTGCTTATACGCTTTTCTTCCCCACCATTATAATTGTAATCTACCCCAACATAAATTAGTGACTCGAAGATTATGCAGTTGATATTGTATTTGTACTTTTATAGAGGTGTAATTCATTATAATTTATTCTTTTACTACATAAACTCTACAAATATCTATTCTATTAAAATAAAATCATTCTTTTTATCTACTGATATAAGTTGTCATTTAAATTTGGACTATTTATAAAGTGTTACAAATAATACAAGTCATATAGTTGATTGAACCGCATTACTTAAATTAAACTGATGGTTATTTATGAGATATAGTCTTGGGCTTACATTTGTTTTTAGAACAAATTATATGGTTGGTTTTTGGGCTTAGTATTAAGGAAAAACTCCAAAAGACATTGAATAAACTTTACACCTTGATGGATAAAAAAATCGGTTATTATTTTTAAGCCTAAAAGGTATTTAATATTTTTAAAGAAAACAAAATTGTCTATTATTAATCATTTATTTAAATCATGTACTTTAAAACATGTTAATGTATTTTTTTATTTTAATAACAATCATTTTGTTTTGATAAATTTCAATGGTAACTTTTAAATAATTTATTTTTATTTCTCTTAAATAATTTACTGATTTAAAAAAAATGTAAAGCAAAACCAAAAACCAAATCTAAAAACTAAAATCCAAAACCAAATATTGAAAAAACAGGTTATATTTTTTTTTGCTTTTTATTTATCTACAAAATAAACTATTGCAAATTTCTTTAAAATTTTTTTGTCATCTTTTCAGTTTTAAATTAGATGTTCGATTATTTGAGATTTGTTTGTTGGTAATATCAGTTCAAACTAATTCAGCGGGTCTAAAAATTAAAAACCCAAACCAAAAGCTAAAAAAAAAATAGAAACTTAAAAAATAAAAATGAAAAATCTAAAAAAAAAAATTGAAACTAAAAATTAATGAATAACAATCATCACCACAAATTTCGGTGAACTGATTTTATCCCAAAACATTCTTTAAATTAAGATAAAACAAAATTACATAAATATTTAATCATAAAAATTTTCCGCGTTTGAAAAGCGCGGGTTAAAATCTAGTTTAATTTTAAACGCAAGTTTTCGTTACTACACAGTACTACACAAGCATTCAAATGACAAGTTTTATGGAAGATGTGAGTTAAAGCAAATTCTGACATAAAACAAAATCATATTAAAACAAAATAGTGAATATTAACTACAAAACTCAAACAATTGTGGCTAAAAACTAGCGATCTTTTCTTCATTGTGTCAAAGGTACTTCCTATAATATAACTAACTAATAAACTATTTTCTAATAATTAAATAATCTTCTGTTCATTTATGAGATAAAACTACTTCTTTATCAATTGATATCTTTGATTATCCTATATAACCGGAATAAAATAAAGTATATTCTTTCTCTAATCAATATATATGACTATAAATTTATGAAAGTATATCAAATAATCGTGATCTGTCTTGCAAAGGTTGTTAAATGGAATTTTTTATTTCGAAAATTATGATTATTAAAACTAAAGTATTTTTTTGAGTTGTTTGGAAATATGGATAATAATAGAAATGAAAATTGTTTGGAAACCTTGATATTAGTATAATAAGTAAGTAAAGTATCATTTTAGTAATTTCATTATTTAAATTTCTTTAAAAATATATCACAAAATCAATTATATTTACCTTAACAATACATTAATCATTAATTATATTACCATAAAAGTAATAATGCAGATTTTTATTTATTAATTTAATTAACACTAACTTTGTGTAAACTATAAAAATCAAAAATGTAAAATAACCAAGTTTTGCATATGGTTAATAGTTCGGTTTAAGTGTTTTAGTAAAACTTTCTTTTATTTTAGTTCCAATCGGTGAAAAATTACGTAGCCAAACACATAAGTCAAATGTATAGTTTTTGTTAACAAAATAACGATTTAAATTAAATAATTGAAACATATTACACTTATTGTCACTTAATGTTTTACTCCATATAACTGTTTTACTAAATAAAAAACATTATTTCTATTTCACTTATTTTAGCCAAATATATAGAAATAGTTTTTTTTAATTTATTTACAGAATTAGTTGAGTATGGACAATTGAGTATTTATTGAGATACAAGTTGTTTCTTTTGGATCAACTTTTGGGAGTTTTAAAATTAGAATTATAAATTTTTGTGGGAGATTCATGTTGAGTCTATATCTAAATAACCAGTTTATCTGAAACGAGTTCCGATATTTGTACCAAAAGTACTTATTATCTGCTATAATCCGGGTCTTTTGAATATAAGTAGTTATACAACAACATAATTAAAATATATAATACTAATCCTAAAAAAAATATCAATTTATATCTAATTTAGAAATTAATATCCGCGCGGGTGCGCGGATCAAGCTCTAGTAATTCACTTAAATGATAAGACATATTTATACATTTCCACTATCTCTTAAAAAATCATTTCATTTTTAGCATATAAATACATTCTTATGCAGATAAAACATATATTTACACATCTTTATGATCTAATATAAATAGTTGCATTTTTAGGATAAAAAACATTTTAGTATGAGAAAATGTTTCTTTAGTATGAAACACATCATTATAACAAGATGCACTTTTTAGATGTTTTTTAAGACTAACTAGATCTCAACCCGCGCAACCGCGCGGGTATTTGTTTTCATTTATTTTTATATAAATATTTTTTTAACTTCTAAATTGGTATATATTATATAAGATGTGTATATCGAAAATGATGATTAATTATTATATAATATAGATTAATTATTGTTATAAATTGATGATTTTATTATTTTTAAAAATAAACTAAATAAACTATGTTATTTTTAAAGTTAACATCAAAAATATATAAATAATTAACTTATACTATTATAATATTAAATTATATAAGTTTAATTTAAGCATTTATTTTATCATAATATCTATAAATTCAATTGATCATCTAATTTTTATTAGCCCTATAAAAATTTCTAATAAGCCCAATAAAGGTTATTAGTGAATCTAATGAATGTTATTAATGATTGAATAATGTAGTGTCATAAATTCTATTAGATGGTCCATTTTAAAATATCACACATGAAATGAAGTCATGACTTCTCTTTTAATATATAAGATTAGAAAACAATATATGTTGAAAAGATGTCGACAAAAGTTTTGAATAGTATTGGCTGAGCATATATCTTATTTTCAAATGTAGAACAAAATTAGTTTTAGTTAACTGAATATAAAAATTCTCATGAAAATATATATCTTTAATATTTTCCTCTAAAAATACTTTTTGGTTTGTCTACTTAATTAATGGCATATGATCACGATATTCTTGGTTAATTTACTTAACAAATTAAATTTGCATATATTTTTGGTTTACTAATTTAACAAATTAGTTTTATGGAAGATATTATGCAAGATATTCGGTTGGCTGAACAATAAATTATTTATCAAATATATATCTTACATTAATTTACATGAATTAAGAATATGAGATTTTATGTTAACAGTACACCATGTTCATCTTCTCCAAAAGCTCAATGTGTTCAGCTCATAAAGTAATAAAAAATATTAATAAATGTTCAAGGCTAATAATAACATATACCTTTATTGTATCAAGCCAGCATCGTTGATTCATGGTTTATTGTCTAGTGCTTTCCTCTACTGGACAAACAATCCAATCAAAACACACAAAGATCAGTATTTTATAATCTCTCCATTGACCTTAATATCAAATCATCATACACATCGATTTCAAAGTGACTGTGCAAACACATAAAAAGATGGTTGGTTGTAATCTAAGTTACAGACCTTTTATTCAGAAGCAAATGACATTAACTTGATATTCATTAAAAGTCATAGAATTTATGTAAGTTGATATTAGATTATTTTGGTATAGAGTAAAACTTATGAGACATTAATGAGTTGTTTCAATGTATTGATGTCGACATTAAAGTGGTTCTAATAATAACATACTAATGATTAATATAATTAATGATAAAATAAATTTATGTGATCAATTTCTAGTAGAAGGTCCAAAACTTAAAAAATCACACATGAAGTCAAGTTATGACTTCTGTTTTAATATATAAGATCAATACTATAAAAAAAGAAGACGTTTTAAAAAATCTATACAAGGTTATTGGATTTATTCATAACCAATTAATTTTTTTGGTTCTACCTAATATTTCCCCAACTATATATTAATAATACTAACAATATTTAATGATCTAACTATATATACATAACGTTTTTTTTGTGAAAGTCGTGAAATGGCAATACACTCCACGTGTTATAGCCTTACATATTTTCTTCTGCTATCATTCATTGATTTGGTATCCGTCAATTTTCTA